AACAACAGGTAATATACCATACCTGTGCAGTATACTTGGCCACAACAACAGGTAATATACCATACCTTAGCAGACTGCTTCCCTCCATCCATCACAGCTGACAAGTTCCGCTCTAACACTCCAGACTGAGCCGCTGAAAGGGAAAACAACTGATAAAAGACTGTTACCTGCTACCTAAGTTGAGGTTGTTAAGAATCTGCTTTGGACTACATTACCAATAACATTTTTCTTTTAAACAACAGAAGTAGCTGCATGAAGATAACTCTTTAACTGTTCTTTGTTCTGCAACAGGTAATTAGAGTGTACTGTGTTTCCATAGGGGATCGAACCCGTGGCTGCAGACTTACTAGTCGGACGCTCTACCACTGAGCTAAAGGGAAATTCCCTCTAGGGAGAAGCTTGAAGGCGTCCATATTCTTATGTACAATTAAAATCTGCCACACTACTCACAAACCTTTTAATTATGTTTGCCCTTGAACACCGTAACAGCCCAGGCTCTAACTCCCTGCTACAGAAAGGGCCACGGACACCACTTGTAAGTTGTAACAGGAAATAGAGTAGTGTGCTTCCACTGGGGATCAAACCAGCGGCCCCAGCTTCCCAGTCCACCGGGGATCGAACCAGCGGCCCCAGCTTCCCAGTCCACCGGGGATCGAACTAGCGGCCCCAGCTTCCCAGTCCACCGGGGATCGAACTAGAGGCCCCAGCTTCCCAGTCCGCCACTCTACCGATTGGGCTAAAGGGAAATTCCATCTAACGTGAAGAAGGCAACAGTAATCCCATGTACAATTAAAATCTGCCACAGTTCTATTTTACATTTAACCCTTTCACCCCTATGCAACTTTAGTAGACTCTCCCATGCATTGATCTGGATGAGTCCAATGTGGTCTACAGTGGTGAAAGGGTTCAAGCCAAATTTGATTGAAACAAGAGACACTTTCACCAAGGGCTGCTCATACATAAAAAAAGACCCTGGTATGAGGTCCAACACAAGTTGCCCAGACTATGGCGGTCACCCAGACTATGGCAGTCACCCAGGCTATGGCAGTCACCCAGACTATGGCGGTCACCCAGACTGTGGCGGTCACCCAGACTATGGCGGTCAAACCCTCGCCTACCACCACACATTGTTTTAAAGCCAGTTTAATGGTTAACTGGTAAATATATTAGGTGTCCATGGTTAGCTGGTAAATATATTATGTGTCCATGGTTAGCTGGTAAATATATTAGGTGTCCACGGTTAGCTGGTAAATATGTTAGGTGTCCACGGTTTCATTGAAATGCATTTAAGTACAATGTATCTGCATAAACTGAAGAAATTCTGCTTCAGAAACCAAATCTGAGTTTTGACCTTTATGTTTGACCTTGGAACATAAGTGAGGACCTAGAAACTACTGTCTGACGCACTGCTTAATGATGGTAAAGCTATCTTACAAAGTCATACCTTAAATAGTACTGACCTCAACCTTAATGATGGTAAAGCTATCTACAAAGTCATATACACCTTAAATAGTACTGACCTCAACCTTAATGATGGTAAAGCTATCTTACAAAGTCATACCTTAAATAGTACTGACCTCAACCTTTGACCGTGACCTTGAATTCAGGGTCTGAAACAGATGCTTTACCACTCACAACCAGCGACTAATGTCTCACTCTGGGAACTTCAAATTCTAACCACTCACAACCAGCGACTAATGTCTCACTCTGAGAACTTCAAATTCTAACCACTCACAACCAGCGACTAATTTCTCACTCTGGATACTTCAAATTCTAACCACTCACAACTAGCGACTAATGTCTCACTCTGGGAACTTCAAATCCTAACCACTCACAACTAGCGACTAATGTCTCACTCTGGGAACTTCAAATTCTAACCACTCACAACCAGCGACTAATGTTCTACTTCAAATTCTACAAAGAAAATGTTAACAAAGAGCATGACTGCATACAATAGTATGACCCAATACCTGACTTGAAGTTGACCTCTGACCTTACCTACTGCAGCAGCTGTCTTCGATGTGGGCGCACTGTTGCAGTCACCGATGGCGAAGATGTTTGGAAAGCTTGTGTGCTGAAGGGTGTCCTTGTTAACACTCACAAAGCCTGCCTCGTTCACGATGTCACTGGTTCGTAGCTCGTCTGGTGTCGACATGGGTGGTGTTACATGCAACATGTCATACTGAAACCAGCAAACAATCAGTATACATTCAGGTATGTCAACTCAATGTATGTATCGTGTCATACTGAATCCAGCAAACAATCAGTATACATTCAGATTTGTCAACTCAATTTATATATCGTGTCATACTGAATCCAGCAAACAATCAGTATACATTCAGATTTGTCAACTCAATTTATATATCGTGTCATACTGAAATCAGCAAACAATCAGTATACACTCAGATTTGTCAACTCAATTTATATATCGTGTTATACTGAAACCAGCAAACAATCAGTATACACTCAGATATGTCAACTCAATGTATGTATCGTGTCATACTGAAATCAGCAACTATCAGTATACATATCGTGTCATACTGAAACCAGCAAACAATCAGTATACAT